CTCCGAGCACGTCGTCGCTCCTCTCTCCTTCTCTCTCGTTCACGCTCCGTGCCACCCCAATGGAACTTCACTCACTTCACGATCCACCGTGTGATCCTCGAGCTTCGAAAAAACTGCACTCCCGATATCTTCGGGTACCGCTACCGTCGAAACGGATCGCTCGCAAACGAACGCGAACGAACGGACGGGCGGCGGACTTCTCTCTCTCTTTCGGGCGAGCGAGCGAGTGCCGTTCCCCGCGAACGGAACGACACGGCACGGTACGGTACGGTGCGGTACGGTACGATACGGTATACGTAGGGGGACCGGGGGACCGCCGCCGCGACGCACGGGGGTCCCCGCTCGTCAGATTGCGAAAGGAAAAACCAAGGCGGGACCGAGGGACGCGCGCGTGAGCCGCGACGCGCCGGGAAAATTGCCAGCCGTACGGTTCACGAGCTTCCCTCGCGAGTCGGACCTCGACTGTACGACTGTGTGGCAATCACCGTCACGCCGGAGATGTGTGCCGGTGTGTGACGGACTTTTTCCCACCATGACGAGATACGGGGTGGGGAGCAGGTACTTACGACGGTACCGCCATTTGTTGTAACGGAGGTGCTCCCCTCGGCTTTGTTTAGGAGAGGGCATTCAGGGACGGATCCATGGGTCTCGGAGCCTCTTTCGCTGAGAAGCCAAAAGAGCGTCTAGTTTTGTAGAAGTCTCAAAGACGCGACAAAAGTCTCTTCCTTTCGAAGATGAAAAATAATCTAAATTTTTTCCACAATTTTGTAGAAATTTTAATTTGGTAGATTTTTAATTCAAATGTTGCACTTAATGTTGAAGCAAGTTGCAAAATTAATTAGATAATTATAGTTATAAAAATAATGAAAATCCTATTCAAGTATTTTGAGAAAAAAAACTTAAAAATTGTGGGAAATAAAATTCTAAAGGAAAAGTAGTAATTTTAAGTAGATTTTAAAGTTTGACCGAATTTAATTTAAGTTTTAATTGAAATCGTCAATGTTAAATATGAAGGATAAACTATATACATATGGCTAAAATTTTCTTTGAAAGAGGTAAATATAAATTAAGAGGTTTAAATTTCTCAAGTAATTAAATAAATCAAATGATATCTCTAAAATAAGAGAAATAAAATAGAAAGCACCAAGTTTAAGTTCGAGAATGCAATTTTTTACATGAAAATCATATATATGTAAATTGATCTTTCGCATACTTTAGCTTTAAATTTCGCGTACTTTTACTTTTCTTATATCGCAGCATAGCGACGAAATCTTACCATCGTACTAGTCCAGTCCGAGGCGTTGCTTTCCTCAAGATTCCACATTTGTGTTCCATGTCTGATGTCCGTGAAGAGAGAGAGATTTCACGCGCCATGTTTAGAATATACGCTATACCACTTTGCCATTTTTGTTGACGCTTTCTGAAGAGAATAGAGCGACTGCTACAGCAGCTTCTCCATTTCTAGATCCGCTCATACTGGTTTAAATTCACCGCGAAATTGAGGATCACGTTACTATTTTTCTACCATTTCTAATATTACACGACTGTTTTTTTTAATTTTTCTTCTGTAAATATTTTTCTGCTTCTATTTGTATATTTTATTCTTTCTGTACGAATGGCATCTATCACAGTAAATATAACTTCTTCAAAATGACAGTAATAATTTAGATAAATGATAAGCTAATGAATGATATATAAAAAGATTACTAATATTGCTGCACTAACGAGCTAATTGTTCAGGACTTAATAATTTATACTGCTTAAGAATAATTAAACTGAAGGAAAATAAGGCCGCGTTAAAAAAAAACCATTGGAGATGACGCGTAGCTCGTTGTGAAAGCGGCCGACTTGTAGTCTCTCGGGTTCGATTTCCGGGGACCCTCAGCCCACATACGTCCCGATTTTATCAAAGGTTTACCAGAGAAAATAACAGGAAAACAAGTCTAATTAAGAACTAGAGAAATAAAAGGCTCCTATAGCCCCCCTATTAGTCCCAAATTACTCCTTTGGTGGACAAGACATACAGTCACAAACAGCTCTTTCCCTCTCTTCCTCTCTCTAAAGTGATCGCCAATGTAATATTAGGGTAATTTGATATAGTACATTGAAGAAGAAGAAAAGAATCGTCATGTTAAAACGAGACGGAGGAGACGGATGGATAAAAAGGATGGATTAAAAACATCTTTCTTGAATGCAAACACACACAGGTGTTCCGATGACGCTCTTAGCGCTAAATGTAGCTGTTCGTTTTCTGATTTGAGTAATGAAGATGGAACTAGACAGAAAAAATTTCTTATTCTGTTAAATTGAACTCTCCTAAATTCTTAAGTTATCTTGCGGATTACCTTCAGTCACATTTATCGCTAAACGCGCGTTCAAGAACGTGAAGACTGCATGAGACATTTAGACAACAGACAGACAGACAGACAGACAGACGGACAGACAGACAGATGAGAGACGTTTTTCACAACATTTAATAAAACGCTATCAACTATGTATGCCTCTTTTTTACTCAAATACTCTAAAAGTTACTTACATACGTGTATAATCTTTTATATGTTTATTCTTTTTTTTTCTTTTTTTCCTTCAATGCCACGCGCGCGGACGTGTCACATCCCTCTCCGCGTTTTGGGTACACCCCGTTCCTACCGAGATACCGCATTCTCCACGGAAGAAAACAACGCTTCGTCACCTTTTTGCCCCTTTCTCTCTCTATCGATCTACAATTGCTCCCGTTCTCTCTATCAATCAACGGTTTCTACTTTTCGCTTCGTTTTGTTAGGCACCGATCATCGACGATGAACACAGTGAGGTACGCCAGCGCGATCAGGGAGCGAGAGAGAAAAAAAAAGAGAAAAAAAATAAAAGAAGAAAAAGGGTGCCTCGCAAACCTCGGGAACTGACACGTCCGGCTTCGAGTGTATATGTATGTATACGTACGTATATTTGTATGATGCGTGTGTGTGTGTGTGTGTGTGTGTGTGTGTGTGTGTTATGTGTTGTTTACGCACGTGTATCCGTATGCGTGTATAAATTTAATACTATCGTCGTTATCGTTAACGCTTCGCTTATGCATAGTGCTTCGATTAATCGTGGACACAGCGATCAACGTCCCGGGATGCGCTAAAGAGAGGTCCGTTTCTCTTGAAATATGTCTTCTACGGGGTGGGATGGGGGCAGGAGGGGAGTGATTTGGGGAATACAATTGATTGTGGTTTATTTCGGTTTTTTTTTTTTTGGAGGATGACGGGTGGTGCAAAGGGATTAGTCGGCGTGACGGCGGTGTGCGGTATGTGTCTGCCTTTCAGCCCGTTTCTTTCGTCGCCGACGGAGAGTCGAGCCTCTGGTCGCGTCTCAAGCGCGAATTTCCCTCTTCCCCCTTCTCTTGAGCTTCCTCTTCGCTTTGATCGAATAGCTCTCTCTCTCTCTCTCTCTCTCTCTCTCTCGCCGTATTCGTGTCCGTTCAATCTTCACCACCTCCGCACCTCCGAGAGGAGGGGGATGTGTATGTGTGTATCCCTCCTCTTCGTTCGGGGTGGAGAAATGATTACGCGACTAAAGTCGTATATATAATTACCGTAGGCACCGTAATATCAGTTACAAATGTGTGTATTCAACAATTTAAAATGGAGATTCAAATGTATCGAGCGCCAAATTATAAAAAAGTATAAGTGCTCTAGAGTCTCTAGACAGTCGCCGCGTGTGGGAATATGTAAATATATAATTATAAAAATATAATTCAAGGAAAAAACAATGATGTAAGTATGCCGTTAACGTATATTATATAAAATTAACCTTCCGCTCAAAACAGTCAAATTAATTATTTGATCATTCCGCGATTCTTGACCGTGACAACGAAATAATAATGCTATTTATTAAAAAAATTATGAAATAACAATCGTATATGTTCCTATGAATACATTATATTCTTTTTTGTGTAAAGTATATAATTTTAAAGTTATATAATTTTTTTTACTTTACTTATATAATTTTAAAATATATTTTACATATAAATTTCGTATATATATATATATATATAATTTTTTATACATGCATAATTATAAATATAATAAAGGATTGCCCGCGCGCGAGCAAAAGTGCGATTTTCTTTTTTTTCTCGAAAAAATATCCTCCTGGCGCTCGACACGTTCGAGATCTTTCACGCTTGGAAATTGCGCGAAGAGAAGAAAATCGAAATCCGCGCTTCGTCATCGATCCGTCAACTGGAACATTCGCAGCTACATTGACCGGCGTAAAAAAAGTCCCATATAATTTATCTCTTAACCTACGAACTTGGCGCAGTGAACCGCTTTCTTTTTCTCTCTTTCCTCCTTATTTTCTTTTTTTTTTCTTTCCTTCGTATGCTCAAGTATCACAATCGCTCACGTATCAATCGCTCGTCTACGAATGTGTCATGTGTACGCGTGTGTACTCTTCTCGCTCTTTATATTTTGTTGTTCCTTGTCGTCGTTATCCTCGTCGTTCGAGAATCAACGAAACGCTGCCGCGTCTCGCTTCGTTTTCGCCTCGCGTCTCAAAAAAAGTTCCGCTCTAGAGCACGATTCTTAGGCAGCTCTAACGATTCGAGAGATCCAAAGTCCTCACTCTGGAATTTCGTCCCCATCACCGAGAGATGCGACGCACTTCTGCAGAATCTTGATTTGCTTTTTTTTTTCTTTTAATCGCAACGCTTCTCGACGCTAAAAGCTCAGACGTGAGAAACTGAGAATAATCAATCGCGTAAACTTCAATCTAATCGGGAGTGCTCTCCTCTCTATTTAATAAATTCCGTTATAAAACATTAAATAAATTGTACATACTTCTATTAAATGTATATAGTACTTATATGAGAAAAGTCATATAAATATTATATAAATTCCGATATAAAAATATTGAATACAGATCTGATCTTTGTATATATATGTATATAAATTTCGATATACAGTACATTATACACAATATATTTTATACTGCGTACAATATATTCAAATGATATAAATTTTCAAAATTCAACTGTATGTACGTATGTACGTGTGTGTATGCACGTGTGTGTGTGTGTGTTTTTTTTTGTTTGTGTACATGCATCCCAGAACGATTCTCTCGAATTAGAGCGAGCGCAGATTCGCTCTAGATCGATACATTATACGCAGCCTCCTCGGACTCGAGGCTCGCCTAAAAAGGACTCGCAACTCCGCTTTCCGGGTCGCAGTCGTCCTTTAATGCTTAAAAGTTAGGTATTATAAACTGCAATCTATAAGCTGATCCCATGTGTTATTTTTTTTTTCTTGGTCACAACCTCGTTGAAATCTTTTCCCACCATGGCTCACGGATCGCTCTTGAAGATTCCGCGACGAGAATCCGAGAGCTTTGGGGATTTCCACCTCCCCAGGCCCCAGATCCCCGTCGTCGTCTCGCTCGAACGTTACATCGTCGCCGTCCCGCATCGGACGAGTCACTCCTCGGTAAACATCAGTTAACAGTGACAATTATAGTTACAGCAATTTATAATTTTTCGCTCAACAATATAAATGTAATAAACATGTGTTGTACAACAATTTGTATTTTTGAGGTAATTGTAATATTGATGTAATGTTACCGTTAGTTGATGTTTACTGGACCCCACGATTTGCTACCATTCTTCCGCACTTTTACTGCGGAAAAATTCAAACGAGAAATTCTATTCTCGTTGTAAAAACAAGATCTTCATATCGCGAAGTGACTTAGTCAGCGCGGTTCTTGAGGATTAAGGACACCGCCGACGATGACATTGCGAGTCTCTCCATCCCGGGCGGACGCACACGTCGTAGCCGTAAAATTCTCTAACGATCTCTGGGCGAGATCTCTCAAAAAACCCGAGGCCCCAGGAGACGGTTCATCTCCCTCGGAGGGCACCATATTCACCCCCTCCCTTTATTCAAATATCGCAAGGATGAACTGTCAACAACCCCGCGGAGTCCCCTCTTTCATCTAGCTTGTTCTTCGAAGTCCTCGCTTTCGAGATTATCGCAAAATTGGAAGAGATCCGACGGACTCGATCTTCCAGGCTTTGAAGGAACCGAATTATTAACGTCGTTCACGGAGTGTGTTTGTGTGTGTGTGTGTCGAATGTCCTTGTATTCGGCAGAGTCCGTTGTTCGAACGTCGTTTGAACCTAGACGAAAAGAACGACTGTCGAGCGTTAAGGATCGAGTTCCTCGTTCTCGAGTTCGTCGCGCGGACAGGAAAGGGGCTTCACCCCATCCGATTTTGAAGAGACCGGCGGCGATTTTTCGACACGCACCGAGCGTCTCCGGTAATTCGTCCTAGACATTTCCGACGCGAGGTAGGCTCCCTTCATCCTAGGCAGACACGGTCTCCACCATGGACTTCTTGATGATCTCGCCGAAGTTCTCGTCGCAGTCCTCGGACGCGCCGTCGGGCTGCTGCTCGCCGGTGATCTGACCCGGCTCGATCATCTCCACGACTTTGCCGGCCGTGCCGTGCGCACCGTAAGTACTGTGATGCTGCTGCGGCTCGTGCATCTCACCGTAATACGAGTACCTGCCGCTGAGCAGCTCCGAGAAGGGCTCGAGCTTGCCCTGCATCTGCTGCACCACCGTCGCGTTCATCGGCTGCACCGAGTTGGTGAGGTTCGTGTACTGCGCGGTACTCGCGGCGTCGTCCTGCGCGAACACCGTCGCGTCGTAGGACGAGTGCTGCTGCTGCTGTTGCTGTTGCTGCTGCTGCTGGCTCTGCGGGGGCGGCGGCTGCGGCATCTGATGCACCTGGCCGGCGCAGCCACCCTGCAGAGCGGCGCCCGCGGTGTCCTGCGGCCCGCCGTAGGGCCCGTAGTGCGCGAAAGCGACCGGATTGGGCGGCGATTGGAACTGCGGCGGTGGCGGCTGGAACCGCGACGTGGACGGCAGAGTCGCGTACGGTGACCCGTAGTCCTGGTACGAGGACTGCTGGAAGCTCATACCGCCGCCGCCGCCACCACCGCCGCCACCGCCGCCGCCGGCGGCGCCGCCGCTCGGCACGCCAGGCGAGAAGCTCTGGAAGGCCTGGCCGAATTCCGGGTGCAGCTTCCGCTGCACAACGACCGACTGGCTACTGTCCACCGCGTCCTCGCTCGCGTAACAGTCGTCCCTGATGGCGTACAAGTCCAGGCTGTCCTCCCGCGTGCCGGGCACCTCCGGCTGGCAGCTGGCCACGCCGACACTCTCGTGACCTGTCTCGTAGTGTAAAGTTGTGAATCCGCCTCCGCCGGGTCCCGTGCCTGGGATCGCGCACACGTCGCCGCCCACGGTGTCCATCCCCAGGGTACCGATGTCCCTCAGGGGACGTGCGCCCCGGCCGTTATGCCCCTGATTGTCCATCACCTGATCGTGATCGCCACCACCGTCCTCGTCGCGTTGCTTCTTCTCCAACTCCAGTCGCATCAGCGTGTGAATGAAATGCGTTCGCACCCGCACCGGATTAAACTCGATCCTGCCTGTGCTGTTCGCGCAACCGTCCCGCGTGCAGCCGCATGGGAAACCCGGTCGATCCACCTGAAAATCGAATTCAATGAAAAATCGTTTCGCACTTCTCGGAATAAAGTTTACGGTCTTCTTTCTTTTTTTTTTTTACAGCTAAGGAAAGTCGATTTCAAGCTTTACCCGTTAATCCCTCAGTTTATCCTTCGGGCTCAATCAGTTTAACTGATCTGAACGAAGTGTTTTACTTGGAACGTGTTAACAAATGGGGAGATTAATCGCTGGAAGGATTAAATGCAATGGCAGTCTCAGAACATTTCAGCAGATTAATCTCAAATTACGTAACACATCGATCTCAAACTGGAGAAAATTAAGTTTTGTACGAATTTTCGAGTGAGTTTTTTAAAAAGTAGGTCAGAAATTTTTTAATTTTCACGTTCTTTACATTTTTAATCAATATCAAAGTTCCTTAAATTTTACATCTAAAGGATATGTTCCCTCTTTCTAAAACAAAGTGCCATTAACAACAAGAGCTAAATTATCACATTCATTATCGCGTTTAATTCATAAAAGTAGATGAATGTTAATTCCACTCGTGTTCTCTCTCTCTCTCTCTCTCTCTCTCTCTCTCTCACACACACACACACACACACACACACACACACACACACACACACACACACACACACACACACACACACACACACACACACACACACACACACACACACAATGACAACATAACTAAAAACAAGAGATCAGTATGTCTTATAGAGATTCGTCTTAAGGAATTTTTTTTTATCAACAACAGTCGTGAAATAAAATTAAATTGCATGACTTTTTTATAAATCTCTTGAAGTATTTTATATCTATTTATTTAGTATCTTTATATATTTTGGCGATTATTTTATTATTTCAATTATCTTATATATTGTATAGGTATTAATTTTGTAGTGCCTGTTGCATGTCACTTATAACGCTGTTCTCGCTTTTTATTATATATATATATACGTATGTATGTATGTATATGTACACACACATGCGTTTTATTTTTTGTATGTTTATTTAAAATATATATGTAGGTATCTATATAAGTGCTAGGTAATATCTACATAAAGATATAAATTTTATCTTTTATCATCTTATCTTCATTATTTCGAGCTTACATAAATCTACTGTATACCATACTATGTACTCCAAAGTCAATTATTACTCCATTTCACTCCTCTCTCTTTCTCTCTCACCTGACACTTTACGTTGGCCCTACTACAAGGACAGCTCTCGGGATCGCAATATCCCTTGCAGCCACATCCGCAGTGCTCCCTGCTGGCGCGGATGTCGCGGCACTCGTCCTTCTCGACGGCGTCTATCCTCCGCACACCGGCGGCTCTAAGTAGCGCTCGGCGCTGCCACGTCGGCACCGGCTGCAGGAAGTAATAGCTGTCGATGTCGAGCTCCTCGTTGTCGCTCGGCTCCTCGTCGGTGTCGTCGCTGGGATCCTCCGAGCTGGACGCCGTCTCGGTCACGCAGTTGTTGGCGCAGTTGCGCTCGGAGCGCAGCTGCGCGAGGCGCGCGCGATGGATCCGCCTCTGCTCGGCTGCGTGCTCCGACAACGAGAACCTCTCCGCGTGCGTGTGCGTCGCGCTCATGCCCAGGGTGCTGCCGCCCTGAAACCGCGAGAGAATCGATCTGTCTCTTGCGTCTCTTCGCGTAAATCCACGCGCGAACACCGTCGTTTATTTACTTATTCAACCGAGAGCGATCTTTATACAAAAACTGTAAAGGACGCTAATAGTGTAATACCGATAAAAAGACTAATAATATTTGAATATATATATACATATATAAAATATGTAAATATATATACCTATATATTTATTTATTTTTTATCTTCCTTTTGTTATTTCAAACTTGTACAAATCGATTAGTGGAGTAAAAATAATAGAAATAAAGATAACAATAAAAAAAACAATAATAACGCAAATAAAGAATAAAAGCTTCATAAAATACAAATGGTATTACACTGTTACGATCAAATACGTTGAAAAACTTGTTCATTTTTTCTCCCCTATATGGCGATTATGGAATCCCTTATGGCCGAAGCCTTACGTGCAGTCAATAAGGAACTTTATATCACGACATCATAGAATTTTATTGTAAAGTAATGGGCCACACGAAAGAAAAGGGAATTCGACTATGTCTTATACAAATTCGATAGCGAGTATTATCGAAAGGTATTATTGAATGGTATTATAAATGACGTGGGGGGGGGGGAGATAGAGGGAAGAATCGAAAGAGGAGTCGTCTTGCGTGAACGCGATTGAAAGAAAGAGAGGAGAACCGATCGTATCTTACATATATAAATTCAACCTCACATCCTCTCTCACGGGGTAGATTTTACAAATGACGGCAAGATTTTCCCGTTGTAAACAACTTCGGACGCTTGTTACTCGTTCTCTCTCTCTCTCTCTTCGGTCCATATAAATAAAATCCCGACACTGGCAAATGCGATGAAACAAAAAATCTACTGCGATTATTTCTGCGCGCTTATATGATACAAGGAGGGAGGGGGAGAGAAATAGTAATTAAACGGTAATAAATAATACGTAAGAAGACAATTGGAACGGTATGTACAAATTGGCAATGCACGAAGCGTACAGATTGCAAAGAGAACGATTGCGTGTAAACAGACAAACGAATACATTTTCCATATTCATACTCTTCCGGAACAACGGAATCAAAATACACGAAATTTAAATGCGGCATTCGGTGAGCCATTTATCTGCTACAAGCGTGGGATAGCAATGCGGTCAGGATATAGACGTAAAGGGAAAGAAAGGGAAGACGTATCGCGAAGTAACACAAAGGTTGCCTGAAAGGAGTTTGAAAGGAAAAGATGCCGGGAGGGTGAGGGGGAGGCGGAAGGGAAGGCGAAGGGGACCAATTTTCGGGACTTACCTGGGAAGGTACGCAGGTGAAGCCCTGCGCCCTGGGGAAGTAATAGACCGTCACCGCGTCGAACTGGATGTTGCGCTTCTTCTTCAACGGCTCGTCGACGTTGCCCCGCGACTCGTCGCCCTCCATGCAGTCGGTCAGCCTGCGCTTCAGGTTGCTCTTGGCCGGAAGCGTTCGGAAGCTCGTCAGGGGCAGCTGCCCCGGCGTCCCGGGCGTCCCTGAGGACGTCGCGTAGCCGTCCAACTGATTCACACCTGAAAGACGCGAACGCCGGCATAGCAAATTCCTACGTACGAAACGGCACGCTTCTTCTCGGTTTCGCGCACTCCGAGAAAAATTCGTAGCGGTGGCAACCATAAAGGTGACAACTATACAAGTTTCATATATGTAGAATTAACGTACACAGATGAATAAACCATTTATAATTATTGCAACTATAAAATAATTTATTCAACTATGTGTATTTTACATATAAAACTTATATAGCTGTTACCTTTAAAGTTACAGCTGCCACTTTTACAGTTGTTCACTACTTATAAATTTTTCTCTGAGTGCAGGAATTGCGAAGACGATTGTAACATTCTGGGCTGATTACGATAACTTATCACGAAAGGAAATAATAACTTGCCAAATTCTTCTCGCGAAACTTCGAAATCGACTTCTGTCAGCAAGAGAGATTCGGGGAACAATAATGGTTTTTTTTCTCATCGTCGGATGAGTGCCTTGCGAAGGGGAAGAGCGCGAATCAAATCATGGCGTTGGGGAAATTCCTTCGTCGATAGATAACAAAATTCCTCGTTCATCCTTCGGCACGAAGCACGGATTTTACTGCGACGAGATATTAATTCGAGATTCAGGTAGGAGTCGACTGGTTGACATTTTCGCCGAGAAAAGTTCACTGTGATTTTTATCGAGAAAGCAACTTCCCCCCTTGTTCTGTGACACCCGGTGTATTGCGGCGTTGACAATCGATGCGAGGCTTATCGAGTTGCGCTCTCCTCGTTCTCTCGCTGGCTCTCTCGACAGCTTCAACCAGAAAATGCCCGACTGGATTGGCAAGGACAGTCCTCGCGGAGTTTAAACATTTCGCGTTTTTTTATAAGGATAAAAGTTTGAAGGCATCTTCAAGTCGGTCGTTTAATTTACAATGATTATCCTTGGAATTTTGCAGCTCAATAGAAAGCATTTAATTAAAAAATTGCAACTGAAGTTGCACTTTTAACAAAAGCTTTTGTAAAAGATGAAGTAATAAGACAATCCTTGTACAGATAACAATTTAGACAACGAATAGTTTTAATGTTGAGCAACATCTAGAAATTAAACATAAAGTCGGATAGATGCGCAGCATCTTGTAATTGATGATAATAGAATCGGGGAAGTCATTAAAAAAGTGGGATATAAAATGAAAATGATTTTTATGCCATTATCATCAAACAACAATGCATGCATTATAAAATTCATCAAAATTTGCTAAAAACGATTTAATAAATAATGATATTCTAACTTCAACGATTTCAATGATTAGTTTGCATTCATTTTTAACTACTTTTGATTTTTTTATCAAAACGCCATAAATTTCAACAAACATATCAAAGTGATTCGTAACCAGAACTTCATGACAATCATTCTCGACACTTCCATCAAATTCAATAAGGAAAAAAAGCCTCGTGATTTTAATAGAAGAACCTCGAAAGAGGAAAACGCTGCTTACCTTTCTCCTTGTCGGAGAGGATGTCGTCCGGCAGCCTGTCGAGGAAAGATGTCTCCGAATCGCTTTCCGGTGCAGGCGCTGGTCCTGGATCACCGGGGATCTCGTTCCCCAGTCCGGAGTCGCTCCCGTCGGATCTGACCTCGTCCCTGGCGCCGGTCGCCAGGGCCAGGCTCTCGGCGGAGTCCTCCGTGTACGCCTCCGGCCGGTCGGCCTCCAATCTCGTCATGATCGGCGCCATCGCTTCCACGCAGCACAGGGCGACCCCGTCGGAGCAGGGTAGCTGATGATCGGGCGCCATGTCGACGTCGCGCAACTCGTGGCGGATGCTCGTGATGGGCGAGACCTCCGAGCTGTCCGAGCCGGTCTCCGTCTCCGTCTCGGTGTCGACGCCCTCGGCAACGTCCACCGACACCTCCGGCGCCTCCTCCGGCGAGCTCGGCATCGTCTCCGACGAGTCCAGCTCGTTGGACACGCGACTGTCCTCGGCCGCGGGCGACGAGCTCGCCAGCACCACCTCCTCGTCCACCTCGAGCTTGCCGATCACCGCGACGGGCGCGGACTCGTCGTCCTTCTCGAGCGTCGTCCCCCTCACGCTGGTTTCGCCTGCAACCTCCGCGGTCTCCGATCGCGACGGGTGCCCCTCGCCGATTCGCTCCAGCACCACCTTACACTTCTTCAGGATCAGTCCACTGTCCGGACTGCGCGCGCCCTCCGCCAGCTCGTGCTTCTTCGATCTGGTTGTCGGAGAGGAGCCGCTTTGCCGTTGCTTCTTCGCACTCCTCTCCGGGCTCTCCGAAGTCTCCGCGAGTGAATCGCGCGACGCCACCTCGACGAAATCTCGTCTTTCGTCGGTGTAAGGCGAACCCTCTCCGACAACGTAGTCCCATATATTCTCGTCGACGTTCGTGTTTATCAGGGCGCTCTTCTTCTTCAAGTCCTCCTCCTCGATGCGGTTCAGTACGACGCTTAAATTTCGACAGACGGGACTTGACGGCACCGCGGGACTCGTCGTCGCTTCGACGACGCATTTTCTGGTCGGAGTGCAGGGCTCGCTTCCAGCCATGTTCACGGCCAGGTTCCCGTCTCCGACGTCGTCCCGACGCGTCCCGTCCGAATTCTCGTCGCTTCGCGAGAATATCGGAGATGCCACATCGACGCCGAGCGACGTAATTTCGCCTTCAATGTCGTAATCCATCTTTTCGCTCGCGCAGTTTAACGCGGCCACGACGTCGCCGCTGCTCGTGCACTCCGCGGCATCCGAAGGATCCGCGCCGATCCTATCGATCGCTTCTTTTTCTTCCTCCTCGCCCGCGTCCTGCTCATCGCGATTCTGACCGACTGAATCCTGAATCGTTCCGGAATCGTTTGTCATCTGAAACGATCCCGCCGGGACGATGTCGTTGCACCTCGGCGTTATCCTACCTTCGAGCTCGTCCCCGAAGAGACAGGAGGACTCCGAGGTCAGGGACACCTCGCCCAGGGTCCTCTCCCGCAGGCTCACCAGCACCGGCGACAGCCTCCTGACGTCGTTCCTCAGCTGGGTCGCCTGCTCCTCCGGAATCTCGATGCCGATCCTCTTGATCTCCGCGCCGATCGGCAGGAAGTCGCCCGCGGCTGGTCTCTTCCTGGAAACATCCGGCGACGCGGGCTTCTCGAGGCCGCTCTCCCACGATCCCTCCGAGGGCTCTCCGACGTCGTGATCTTGAGTATCGGGTATTCTCGGCGATTCTTCAAGCTCCTGAAGAGTGTCTACCGTTAATTTCGCGTCGTTCTCGTCGTTCTTCTCATTTTTCTCCTCTTCGTTGGCTCTCTTCCCCACCGTTAGACCCATGTTCGCTTCTTCTTCTCCCCTTTCCCCTTCCCCTTGATTCTCCTCCGGCTTATCACTCGATTGTCTCGCTTCGGGTCTGTCGTCCTCCGGTCTCTCGTCCAGTCTCTCGCACACCATCATCAAATCGTCGCTCGAGTCCGGTACGACGGATGGACCCGCCGCGTTATCGTCGTCGTCGCCGCCGACGATGTCTGTTGTCATTATTGTTGCCGATGCCGTCCCGCCTGGCGACGGTGCGCCTTCCGCCCCGGCCTCCACTGAGGTGGAATCCTCTTGGGCCTCAACGAGACAGTCCTGACGGGCCGAAGGCGATTCCATCTCGGGTATTTCTGCCATCTGCAAGCATTAAGGTCAGATTGAAAATTAGAGGACAAGTTCTACACTCCTGATGAGGAAATAATCGATCGAGCACGACGACAAAATTATCGATGAGCTGCAATGGTCCGTATATATATTTCGCGCGTAAATAACAAATTATTAAAGCGACGAAATACCAAAATCACATCTCAAGATAAAATAAAAAATAATTTCTGTATATGCACAACAATACGTATAAATATAACGCATTATATATATATTTTTACTTATTTTTGTATATTAAATATCTCAATGCTAGAACGTACAGAAAATAATCGAAAGTAAAAATATGTATCAAATTGCCAAGATATTAAACGAAATATAAATGCTCGAGTATCCTGCGAAAATATAAGTCCTATGAAAACACCGAGACGAAGATTCTATATACAGATCGGAGTGAAATTACACGATAGCGGGATGAAGTGAAGAGACAAACCGAAATAACCAATGTAGAATACGAATTAATTGGGTCGTTACGTTCACCGCGGGAAACGGCTTCTTGCTCTCTCCCTCTCTCATCCGGGCGCGGGCAGATGATTTCACCCGGTATTATAATCAACTATCATTGCGCTCTACCTTTTCCGCGAAAATAACATAAGCAAACCGGAGAGGACGAGGAAATCAATAATCCGCGCACTGATATCGCGCACACCGTTGCTAAAACCAGAAGAGAATAAGAGCGAGCAGAGCGATCGAGCGAGCGAGCGAGCGAGCGAGGGAGAGAGAGAGAGAGAAAAAGAGAGAGAGAGAGAGAGAGAAACAAGGAGAGAGAACATCGATGCGGAGAAAGAAAATCAATTTCCTGGAACCTAGCGCAGTAGTCCCCCCTCCCCCCCTCCCTCCCTTCTCTTTCCCCCCGTTGCCCTAAAACCCTTTCGATACATTTCTCTTATCGTTTCTCGAATACAAGATATCGCGGGGAAGCCTACATATAATCTTGGCCGGAGATTATTGATTCAAAGCCGACCGGCACACGATGGCGAAAGGGGGGACGGCAGGGAGCACCTCCATTCGCGCGTCGGGGACGAGGCACTGCGTGCGCGAAGTTGTACTCTCGGGAATATCTCCTAAATCGGGGATAGCAGGCCCCTTCGCCCGGGGGGGGGGGAAGCTCTTTTACCGTAAAGAGGGGGGAAGCTCTTTTACCTTGAAATCGCGCGATCCTTCCTCCAACTTGGTCCAGCTCTGTGCCCCTCGACTGCGACGCAAGGGTTCGCGATCCGAGCGGTCCCCCGCGGTCACTATTTTTCTCTCCCTCCCTTTCTCTCTTTTTTGAAAGATTGTCTTAAGTTGTCTCGCGACTCCGACTACCACCGTCGTCGTCGCGTTCGCGAGGGCCCGCGAGATGATGCCAATGGTACGGTCCCATCGCAGGACCGGACGCGTCCTCGTGCGAGGGGGACGGCGAGTGGCTCGGGTGGCACAACATTCGCGGATCCGGGTGAAACAAATTGGTGAGGACACGTCCGACCGGAGAGGAGAGGAGGTCTACCGGCTACTCGCCGGCACTCTCATGTGGAAACGCACGAAATTCACCCCTGGAGATTCATCCGAACCGCGCAGCCGAGGGGGGTTCCCCCGAGATGTCCGGGGATCCTAACTGGGACGGACGAATCGTCGGAGATCCGACGAAGGTCGTACTCGCGGGAGAAGCTTGAAGTGGACCAAATGTGAAGAGGAGGCGATCTCGGAGTTAGAGCCTCTGTCTTTCTCTCTCCCTAGCGAGGAACCCCCTGGTCTGCGGCGCGCTGAGGAAGAACGTACGAGCCGAGGAAGCGACTGACGTCCTCTCGAGAGGCGACGAACGAGTCGATGACGACGAGGAGGGCGCAACGATGACGATGACGGGGAAGAGGGGAGGCGAGGGGACTGTGTGTTCAACGATAGAGATGTGATGTGGAGAACGTGACGGAGGTGGTGCGCGTGCGGCGCGTTCGACAGCTCGGAGCAGAGTGAGCGGAGGCGGCGTCGGCGTCGTCGTCGCTCGGCGTCATCGACGACGCCGACGTCGACGTCGACGCCGACGCCGGACGCCACCGCCGCTCTCTCGGATCCCCTCGGCTCGGCTCGACCCGGCTCGGATGGAAGACGAGCATGAGCCGAGGACGTGTGTTGGTGAATGCGTAATGGAGTGGTGCACACGGAACGCCGCGCCGCGCGGAGGAGCGCAGCGGTTCTCAAAGAGCCGCACACCCTGGTGTCCCTGTGGTGATGCCGGATTAGTCATCTTAGTCATCGGCGGGCCGATCTTTTCCCTCCTCCTCGCGCTCTCTTCGTGATATTTTTAATTTCGTCGAATGACGAGTGTGCGGCGACGCCGCACATTGTCCTCCTTTTTTTCCACGCTGTTTCGGCGAAGCAAAACAAATCGCGCGATATCGTCCTCGTCGTAACGAGATTCCGAAGCTCGAGTTTTGCGTCGCGGAAAAAGATTGCCGAGTTAAAGGATGAGGCAGAAGTGACGCAATCGAGCCGGCGCAGCTGGAGGAGCGCTCAAACAAAGGTCACTCGAGAAAACGAATGAATTGAACGAGAAATTTGACGCTTTGTCTCAAATAGATATATTTTTTTTTAATCCTCGTTAGATCTTCAATCATTTTCTGTCTTTATTCTTGTATATTGAATAGTGGAGTTTCATTTGTTCTTCGATAAAATCAAATAAAAAGAAGTCGGATAAAATAAATCGAATAAATTGAAGTTTAAATTCTTCCCGATTGCAGCTCACGGCTCTCGGGTGTACAATTGCAAGTTGACAATTCTGCAACGATGATGCATTCATTCGCCGTAGTCTAATTATGCCAGTGATGCACGCGGCGCATCGACGAGGAGGAGGAGCAAAGTTTATTCGCGAAGATGCCGCGTGGTGCATAACTCGTGCATTATGTACAATCCGCTAATTATGAAAGAAAATGATCCTGTTCCTGAACTGCCGAGGGGCATAATCTATCTGTATCAAATTAAATTAAATTAAGTCATTGTATAAAATAACTCAAAATAGGGAAGAAAATACAAACATTATATACAAATATTATATCCGGAATTAAATAATGAAAAAAATTAAATAGTATTTATATAAATATAATACGTAAATAATATGTATTTCTTAAAAACATCCTACTTTGCAATTTTCACAAAATCTCTCTGAAACAAGATAAATATTTGCATTTTCCTTCCAAATTTAAATCAAATAAAATAAATATTTTGATTAAACAGTTTTGAGGTACAAGTAATCCCGGAAAAAATCCGGACTGATGTACAAACAATTTACATATAAAAATGACAAATTAAAATACATAATTCCTGCCGGTATATTTTTCGCAAATATTTGACCGGTGGAGTTTATTTCGAGCTTCGCGATTTTTTTTTCGATTTCCGATTCGGGGAACGCGCGATGTCGCGGAGGCGAGCACGGGGAAAACGACCGAAGGACGGAGCGATACTCCGTATGCGTGCGATAATGATGCACAATAATAACAAAATCGACTGACGTAAGCGAGGCAAAAGCGGTGACGCAAGCGTGCAGCACGACGGGCGACGTGATGCCGTTTTCTCGCCGCCGATGCCGCGCCGTGCGATCTCTCCCGGTCCGAAGGAGACTCGCCGAAGGATCCCGAGATGCTCCCGCGACAAACGAGGTTTCTCCATCCAGGTCAGCCTTGAAACCGTCCGGCGGTTTCCTCTCGCCTCCTGTTCTCCCCCCCTCCCCCTCCTTTGCCCTGCAAGGAACCTTCATCGTCGAGGAAAGGCCACCGACGCGGCGCGACGACCGGCTCGATTCGCGATCGCGATCGATTGCCACCGCGCTCTTCAGCGGGGCAGCGATAGCCGGCCTCTCGAAGGACGCGGTACCAGAGGGAGGACGCGATCGACGCGATCGACGTTTAGAGAACCGGGAGAGGAGGTGGGGAGGAGGGGGCCAGGGGCATCTTTCGCCGGACGTTCACCAGGGATCAACTCGCACCTGCAAGAAAGTGAGGGAAAACGCTTCGTCCTGAATACGAATCGGGGTACGCTCTAGTGTTCTACTATATACGTCTGTATCACTTTTATTACCCGCTACTTTGAAAAAATATGCAGGTCCGCGGGGATAGCGTCGGCACCGGAATCGGCGCGGGTGGCATCCAGCGATTGTTGCCTCTCGTTCTCCCTCGCTTTCTGCCTTTCTCTCTCCCCCCCCCCCCCTCGTCCCTTGTTTCTCTCTCTTTCTCTCTAATCTATATATTTTTTTCCTTTCCGTCCGACGCACAGTGGCACACGTACGGCGCGCGCGCACACACACACACACACACGCGTGCACGCGCATGCACACACCCGTACGGCTCTCTCTCTCTCACGGACGGTTCAACGAACGAGAGAGCGCAGCGCTTGCGCGCGGCGGGCGGCCCGTAATTGTCGGGGCTACGCTAGGAGCGAAACCAGAAGGCGAACGGAGTCTTCTCCGTGGAATTTTAGCCGGCCGAAGAGCGGCGAGTTTCCACCACCGTATCGCGGGGGAGGAACGGGAAGGAAGGAACTGCACTCGCGGTGCGTCTCGCGCTGGTCGCCCTTTCGCGAGCCGAGAGGCGCCGCGAGATTTCCGGTGTAACGAGAGAGAGAGAGAGAGAGAGAGAGAGAGAGAGAGAGAGAGAGAGAGAGAGAGAGAGAGAGAGCCGCGGCGCGAGGTTTCGCATGGGATTATTGATCGGCGTTCGCGCGAGTATTGATCCGCCTCCGGTTGGTGCAAAGTTACTCCGGATGCTAAATGCGCGTGACCGCCTAATGTGTTGGGAATTCACCCCGATTTAAACCCCCGGGTGTTAACGCGAATTTCGCCGGCACGAGCGCGCACCTCTCCCCGCGCGGCGCGAGGAAGACTCGTTTTTTTTCCTCCCCGAATCGGAGCACGGGTGGCGACCAGTGTGGACCCAGAGCCGTGCACGAAGTGGTTGCGAAACCGGAGGCGGACTCGTCTTGGAGTCTCGGAGCAGCGAGAAGGATTG